CACGACATCATTCTGTGATGTGTGAGAACTGCTTTATAAATGCCTTGCACGACATCATTCTGTGATGTGTGAGAACTCTTTATAAATGCCTTGTACGACATCATTCTGTGATGTGTGAGAACTGCTTTATAAATGCCTTGTACGACATCATTCTGTGATGATTTTCTAATCATTCCTTAGTGTCTGTTGAATGTGTTCGAAAATGAGCCATAAAAGTCTGTTGCAATGATCGCTAAAGTTATCTATAGTACAAACTGTAACACTTGATATTTACACGTGTTGGTGTCGGACATCAGTTGTTACACGTGTTGCTGTCATCACAAACCAATTATTACACGTGTTGGTGTCTAACACCAGTTGTTACACGTGTTGGTGTCTAACACCAGTTGTTACACGTGTTGGTGTCTAACACCAGTTGTTACACGTGTTGGTGTCTAACACCAGTTGTTACACGTGTTGGTGTCTAACACCAGTTGTTACACGTGTTGGTGTCTAACACCAGTTGTTACACGTGTTGGTGTCGGACACCAGTTGTTGCAAGTGTTGGTGTCTAACAACAGTTGTTACACGTGTTGGTGTCGGACACCAGTTGTTACACGTGTTGGTGTCTAACACCAGTGGTTACACGTGTTGGTGTCTAACACCAGTTGTTACTGCACAAAGAAGTACGATAGAAAACAAATTCACCCATTCCTCGAGGCTTAGTTCGAATTTCAAAGAATGGATTATGTTTTATAGACACTTTCGAAATAAAAACGCTAAATTCAGAGCCTTTACAACTGCATGAAGTAGAACACGGAACTCGGCTAATCAGTTGTAATAAACCCAAAGTCTGCGGTTTACTGTAACGATATTTTTTGACACGTTTAAGAAGTGATTTATTATATATATATATATATATTTAGCTCTATCTGTTAAAAAAAAACATCAAAAAATTTAACCCATAAAAGAACAGATATCGCTGAATGTTTAACAGCTATCGAACGATTTGGGATTACAGTAAACGCGTGATCAGCCCCCCAGTCTGAATATCGTACAAGAAACGTAGAGACTGATAAGGATATTCGAAATGTTTTCTTACGACCGTTGAGAGTAATCATTTCGAACAATTGGTGGGATTTTGTAGAGTACGGTTGTTGTTGTATAACTACTCTCGTTCCTCTGAAGTGTCACTCTGCATACGATATTGTTTCAAATAAATTTCTCGTGGAAGAAAAATTTAAAAAAGTAAAACTCCCCTCTTCGTTAGTAATAGTTAATGGTTCTACGTTACACTAGGGTTTGAGTGATTAATGATGTAGTAGTACGTTTTAATTGGGGGGGGGAGGGTTCAACCTTTATTTAACACGTGCGATCTTGGACAACAAAACGATAATAGCACATATGGGAAACAAATTAATAACAGGGCTAACTCTATCGTTTTGCCATTTTTTTTTGGGGGGGGGGGTTATTCACAAAGGCGCACGACTTGTCTGAAAAATAATCTTAATTTTTAAATTGAAACGCATTTAGAAGTAGTTGAGGTTTTAAGTTCAGAAATGTTGTCAAGAATTCTTAAAACATCCACATAACGTGGTTGAATTATAAATCAACAGATGAAAAGTTATTGGTTTCTTTATTCCCTTAAGTTTCACATGTTGTTATTTGTTTGTTTGTTTTAACGAGATTCAAATTAATATAAATATTCCAAAAACAAAAAAAGAAAAAAAATCTATTCGTAATATGAAATATATTGTGGAACATGAAAATTTGGTTTGTTTAAACTTCTGTAAAAATAGGAATAAACATTATTAGTGGTTTCGGGTGAACCTTGCCCCTCCATTTTTTTAACCTCTTACGGACTAACGATTATTGATTTTTACCTGTCACGTGAAGCTTCAAGATACAAGAGACGCCATTTTTAATTTGTTAGGCTAAAGCCCTAATAATTTTTTTTTTAAAAAAAGGAGAAGCAGTATGAAAGTCGCCTGATATTGGTGTCGGACAGTATTTGCCCCTAGTACGAGTAAATATTCACCGAGAGCTATTCCTCAGTAAATATTTTGGACACCTGAAGGCGTGAAAGCTGCTTTGTCAGGGTGTTCACACTCCTCCCTTGTGCTGGATAGATTGAAATTCAAACTTGAGGAACTCAAATCCACCGTGAAACTTTAAAAATTCAAAAGATCTTTCTTCCTCTACTGTAGCAAATCTAGGCTTAGTACACTCAAAATAAGAAGATATCCATTTACACCAGTTGTAATGTATTTATTTTCATACGTTCTTGTCTTAATACTTAAACCAACTAAAAACTACTAATATTACTTGTCGTAATTGCTACCTGAACATTTGTAGTTTTAAACTTTTTAATTATTTAAAAGCTATACGCATAACCACCCCCTCATTGTTAACTGATAGCCAATTTCACCTACAACAAACTATTTGGCTACTCTTGTCTGATTGGATAGACTGGATTTGACCAACCAATAGTTAGTCTCACAGTTCACCCACGGCTGTGAAGCGCAATCTGTTGCGGCAGTGGGACGAGAACAATGGATCGTTAAGAACTTTCGTGTCACAGTCTGTCCCATAGTTTGTTATACGCCTGCTAATCGGAACTACATGTTGTAGTACTATTTGTTGTACGCTATCTAATCGGAACTACATAAACTATTACGTCGTCAAGAAATTAATGTTGCTTTTTTTAGATGAAAAATCCCGAACAACTT